AAATATACATGCACACACACACACACACACGCGTGTACACCCTCTGACAAAAGATAGTAAATATACATTTATACCTCGATAAACGTACCTAGACAAAATAGAGCGTCAGCGTCGACGTCAGCCACTCGGTTTACGAGGTTGTTGCCACACTATATCTGAGGTGCGCAGCATTAGTATGATTTAAATGGAAATCCAGGAAAGAATGGATATAACGTTAATCCGTATGAAAGTAGAATATAGAGCGTTGATTCTACTGATAATAGGTGGTTGCATTTGATATATTTGAGCTCATAGTTCATAAAGATGACACCGGGATAAATTTAAAAGTTACTTCGTTACTGGTGATGATATTTACCTTACTTTACATCAATATCATGTTAGACGACAATAAATACTCGTACATGTACTGACCCTGCACTGTGCAGGGAGTTGTTTTTTTTGTTTTTGTTGGGTCTAAATCACCGAAATAGAAAAATGTTTACGACTGTCAAAAAAAAATTCAAATATACGAACTGCATAGATTCTCTTGCAGTTTACATGCTTTTATGAATGTACATGTTCGTAGTACAGCTGTAGCTACGGAAGGGAGAGACAGTGAGAGCTTGTAGCAGACTGTAGCGAATCATTTAGCAAAACAGATACGCAATCGGATTTCTCTACCTTTAAGCACATACGAGCGGGTGTGACAATGCGCAATTTCAAATAGCAGAATGACGACAACTAGCCGCCACACGTAACACCCACCCATCAACACCACTCGGCATAGGTCACACACACACCCACCTACACCTACACCACCACACACACACACACCTACACATACGGATTAAAAGGATTGTATGTATTCGTATATACACGCTTGTGGTCACGAATATAATATATATACCTTGATATAATCATATATATATATATATATAGTCAGGAGGATCATAAAGAGTATGCCAAGAGCGGTTTATCCTTCAATTCAGCGTTTGAGCAATAAGGACAGAAGGTATGTGGCTATCTCTGTACCAAAGGCAATTTTGACGAAGGGAGTATTTTTCAGTGAAGTGTGTGCATGCTGGCGTTGGCTATGCTTATATTTGTTTGTGCTTCGTGGTATATACCTGTATATTTGTGTGTACACGTTTAGTGTCTAAATATTCGTGAATATGAATGTTTCATATATTCACGCCAACATGCATAACACATTTACATCTACGTGTACACACGCAGCAACAAATGGGCGTCAACAATATACCTGTACAGTTTGGTACGCTATCTGTGTATCAATTTCACGAGCGAGTTGTGCCTCACGCACGACGCGGATTTAACCCGTGTTTCCGAGTGTATAAAATCAGACATAATATAACAAGATTCGCTTCATATTAACCTGCATATATAGTATATTTATGTATTTATAATACAAGATATCTATATCTATAAATATATATATATATATTCATATATATATATATATATATATATATGTATGTATGTATGTATGTATGTATACATGTATATGTACGCCCACATACACACACATA